GAAGCTGGAGAAGCAGCGGGCGCGGGAGCTGGCCGAGAAGGAAGCCGCGAAGAAGGAGCAGCGGGAGGAGGACAGAGGTGACGCCGCTGTGGGCCAGGGGAGGCCCCAGGGGGGGGCAGAGCTGCGGGACGCCGTGGTTCAGGGTCAGTTGTGCCTGTCGGGGGGGGAAGGTGATGCTCAGCTTCATGGATCCGTTACAGATCCATCCCCAGGCATGAACGTGATGCTGCGAGCACTGCACAGACCCTGCTTAAGAGAAACCAAAGTCTAAGAAAGAGAGAGGTTGCTCTTTTCTCCCCCCACAGCTGCGGCAGTCAGTAAGGTGCTGTAGGTGCAGCTGTCACCCACCCCAGGGCTCTCTGCTGATGGCCTCTGTTCCCAGGGCGGCACTACACGCTGAGCGTAGCCCTGCCGGGCTCTATCTTGAACAACGCCCAGTCGCTGGAGCTGCGGACGTACCTCGCTGGACAGATCGCTCGGGCCTGTGCCATCTTCTGCGTGGACGAGATCGTGGTGTTTGATGAGCTTGGAGAAGATGCAAAGTAAGGAAGAGCCATCTAGTTCTGCAGAAAGCATCTCCTCGCTACTTTCTGCTTCTTCAGTCTTTTATTAAGCCAAGACTAGGAAAAAATTTAGACATTAGGAAGAAGTTTTTCCTGTGCGGGGGGTGAGGCAGTGGCCCAGGTTGCCCAGAGAAGCTGTGGATGCCCCATCCCTGGAGGGGTTCAAGGCCAGGCTGGATGAGGCTTTGGGCAACCTGGGCTGGTGGGAGGTGTCCCTGCCCATGGCAGGGGGTGGGACTGGAGGGCCTTTAAGGTCCTTTCCAACCCAAAACATTCTGTGATTCTATGAAAAAACTCTGTATGCCTCAAGCAAATTTTGAGCCTCTCTCAAATGCCAGGATTACAGAGACCCCTGTGCCACTGGGCAAAGATGTTGACTTAACTGCCCTGGCAACTAGGATCATTTATCCCAGCGTGGGGATGACAAAGCAGCAGGAGGGCAACTTCTCCTGTACTCTTAAATCTTGCTGTGGAGGGATGGGGTGTGCCGATATGCTGTCCTTCAGCTTTTCAGTCTGAACTGGCACCTGTGTTAACTGGCCAAGCCATGCGATCCTGTAGCATCCAGCTCAGTAGCCAGGTTGTGTCAATACACAAAAATCAAAAACAAAACTGAAAAAAGATACTTGCCTTACAGAGAGAGTTCCAAATATGATTTTTATAAGGTAGCCCATTTATTTCTTAGGGGTGGAGGGTGCTCCTATTGTCAGATTAAGGAGCAAGGTTTGGTCTTCTGGAGACCCAGACATTTGGGGCTGTGCAGTCTCATGATGAGTTCACAGGCTGCTCTCTTTCTCTTTTAGGAGCGTGGAGGGGGACTTTGAAGGAATTGGGAGGAGAGGCAAGGCTTGTGTGCAGCTGGCTCGGATCCTGCAGTACTTGGAGTGCCCTCAGTAAGTCCACCATGGTCAGGCTGTGCCTCAGGTTTGCATCAGAACTGACTACCACAGGTATCCAGTGCTAGAGGCTATGGAAGCAGGAGGCAAATTCTGTTTATATCACATGCAGGAACAGAGGATCTAATTGTTTCACATGTTTGGTTGAGGAGTTTAACTAAAAGAAGAGCAGTGAATGCAGGATACAACCTGCATCAGGAACTTGAGGGAGCTAAGCATGCTTTTCTCTGTACTCAGCTCCTTTGAGTCAGAACAAAGCTAGAATTGGGGGTTGGATTCCTTAGAAACAACTGTTTTCACATTTGAACCTTCTCTGATAACAGGTACTTGAGGAAATCCTTTTTTCCAAAACATGAGGATCTGCAGTTTGCAGGTAATGATTCAGTTGTCTCTGTCCCAGGCTGTTGGCTCCCCCTTCCTGAGCTCTGGCTCGTTTCACGCGGCATACCCAGAACTGAAAAACTTTTCCTCACTTCAGAGCACAGGCAAGGTGCTGTGCTATGGTGGAGCAGAGAGGGAGGGGGCAGCAGAGCAGTTGTACCTGTGTTCCCAGTTGGTGTCCTCTCCTTAGCAGTTCTTTCCTCTCTGCTGTTCTAGGGCTGCTCAACCCCCTGGACAGCCCCCACCACATGCGGATGGATGAGGATTCTGAGTACAGAGAAGGTGTAGTGCTGGACCGGCCAACTAAGCCCGGCAGAGGCTCTTTTGTCAACTGTGGGATGAGGAAGGTATGTCTGGTACCCCCAGGTCCCAAAACTATTCCCCCTGTCTCTCTGGCAGATTTGAAGCAGGCAGGGTGGGTATGGCTGAGCCCCTGAAGGCCATAGCAGGCTGGCAGGGGGTTTAATGGTGTTGCTGTCTTGTCCCTTCTGGCTTGTGAGTGGTTGTAGCTTCCTAAGCCCTGGCAGGCCTGCCCATTCCAGCACATCATTGCTTCACTGCTGGAATTGAACCTTTGAGCAGCAAAATAAATCTCAGACTGGTGACCCAGCCACGCTGAGCCTGCTCTGCATGAACCACAGAGGCCCTGATTGCAGAGCTCCTCCTTCCAGCTCCAGGCCACAACAGACCCCCACTTCTTCAGAGGGTTCCCTTCCTTCCCCCCTTCCCCAGCACTTCCCAAATGTCTGACGCTGGTGATGACTGTCACTGCAGGAGGTGCAGATCGACAAACAGCTGAAGCCTGGTCTGCGAGTCACTGTGCGCCTGGAGGAACCCCAGACACCAGGTAATCCACTGCCCCTTAGCATCTGTAAACTGCAGTCCTGCAGGAGGTGATCCTTCCATAGGACAGCCTTCGAGTTACTGGTGTTTGAAGGCACCCAACAGCTCTGCACCTTCCCTTCACTCTACTCACAGGTTTAATAACACCCTTACCACACCTCCCGAGTTAACTGGAAAAAACTATCAGCTCTTTGACCAGCAATAAACAGCCCAAACATAACGGCATGCTTTCCAGCATGTGCTTGGTTTTACACCCAGTCAGTGCCCTACCCCGGGAGAAACTGCCGTACGTGGCTGGTCCCATGCAGCTCTCACGAGGAGATCGCAGGGGTTGTTCATCTCTTTGCTTCCCTTTCAGAAGCTAAAGTGCGGAAAGGCACCGTGGTGTCCTCACACCACCCTCGGACAGTGTCAGGCTTGTACTGGGGTTACAGCGTCCGCCTCGCCTCCTGCTTGAGTAAGTATTCGCAGGGGTTCTCTGCTGCTGTCACTTCCCTGTAGATTGTTGCAGCCTGTCCCGAAGGCACGCAGCGGGGGTGAGGGCACCACGTGAATAACGCCTTATTGCGTTTGTTTCCCAGGCGCTGTCTTTTCAGAGTGCCCGTTCAAGGAAGGCTACGATCTCTCTATTGGGACATCAGAGCGCGGCAGCTCAGTGGATCAGGCCACTCTCCCCTCCTTCAGGTTCGTGTCCCGCCTGCTGGGCCCCACTCAGAGCCCCCAGGGAAGCCTGGTGCAGGCAGCAGAGCTGTGTTCTCCCAGGCAGGAATGATCCTAGGTACAAGTGCAAGACGCACCTGCAGGCTCCCTCCTGTGCTCTGCTGCTCCCTTTTGCACCAAGGCACATTCTTCTGCATGAGTGAAGCTGGGGGAATTAATTACCCCAGGACAAGGCCAGTTCCTTCCCTGTTTCTCTGGAGTGGGTCCTCCCAGTTCAGCTGGCAGCAGGGACTGTCACATTGGCCAAGTGCTGTGGGGCTTTGCTAGCGAGGCAGCTGCACCGGACATTGTCACTAAGGGACATAGCTCCCTGCTTCAGCAGTAGAGGAGCTTGAAACAGACCCAGCTGCCTGAACAAAAGAAATTAGTCTGCTTCCTGCAGATCAAGTTAAGAGAACTGTTGATGTAAAGGCAATTCTTAATCCACTTGAAGGTTCAAGGCACTCTCCTGTGTAAAGCTCGTAGCAGCTGCCTTGGTACAGGGGTAGGAGCCACTCCCCCCTCTCCCTCTGCTCTCCCCTAGGCACGCCCTTGTCGTGTTTGGAGGTCTCGAGGGCTTGGAAGCTGGGGTTGACGTGGACCCAAACCTGGAGGTCACCGACCCAAGCGTCTTGTTTGACTTCTACCTGAATACTTGTCCCAGCCAAGGCAGCCGAACCATCCGGACTGAGGTAGGGCAGGCAGCTAACGGTGCACAGAGCAGTGCTGCGTTTCTGCCTCTGGCAGTGACACACATGGCCTGTGTGTCCTTCCCCACAGTGATGGTTCAGCAAAGAGCAGCTGGCTTGCCCGGTGCTCAGCAGCAGCAGTTGACTGCCGCCTGCATCTCTTCCAGGAGGCACTGCTAATCTCTCTCTCTGCGCTGAGACCCCACATCGCTGAGGCTGTGAAGACACCCAGCAACAGAGGGAAGGAAAATGACTGACCTTGCCACCAGCTGCAGACTGCCTCGGGGAAGCGGCGGTTCAAACGCAGGGTGCTGCGCAGGTCACTCCAAGAGCCTGGCAGGGCCAAGACACAGCATGACTGAAGCTGGCAGCGCTGTTCAACCAAGTGTCTGGCTTCTGTTGGGAGCAGCAAATCTGCACCCTCCTGACTGCATGGGCCAGCCAGGGGCTGGTTGCTGCTTCTCAGCAGCTGGGACAAGCCTGGCAGCAGACTTGGTCTCAGCACTTCAGACATCTGGGGTGGGAAATAAAGCAGTATGGAACCCCAATAAAGCAGTATGGAGCCCCAGCCTTGAAGTCCATGTGCAAGTGTCTTGGTGTAGAGGATGGTGTCCAGAAATCCTGCATGCTCCGTGCTTTGGGAGCCATGTGCATTCAGACTTAAAGGAAGTCAAAACTTAATCATTATGCCAAGAAGCTGTCTCTGTCTCAGTTAGCCTGACTCCCCCCAACCCCCCTTTAAACTGAAAACCTCCATCCTTCCCCACAGCAGGAAGGGCTGGAGCTTCAGCTGGGCCTCAGCACTAAAGCACATCAGCACAGCTTGTTACAGTTGGGCTCCATCTGTGATAGCTCTTCCTAAAGTGAGCTCAAACAGGAAAACAGCTGTAAAAGTTGGCTCTGGCCTCCCC